TCCCCAGCCAGCATGGCTGGCTGGGGAATTCTGGGAGTTGAAGTCCACACATCTTAAAGTCCCCAAGGTTGAGAAATGCTGATCTAGGATGCAGGACAAGGAAGAATCGAAGTTGCAGGAAGGCAGGTTCTCACTGAAAGTTACTATAAACCTCCTGACAGTAAGAGAGGGTGGTTTAATCCCTTTTCTTAGATGCATTCAGACAGGATGCTTTAATTTGGAATCCTGCGCCCAGCCAGGGATCGGAATCTATGGCCAACTAACCCCTTCCCACCCTATAGCATTACGACCTTCAGAATAAGGATCTGCTGCCCCTTTGCATGGACACAAGTGTTCCCTTATCCCACACTGCACCTGGACTCTCCGTCTTTTGATTCGGAGCACAAAAGGACAATCTAAATATTGTATTAAATCACTTTCAAGGGCACGTGCTAAACATTTTGGGGCTTTAAGTGTTTTCGTTGAAGATCTAATTGAGGGAGCCTCTATTGTTCCCACTGCACTCGGACAGGGAAGCAGGATCAAAATCACAGGGTACAAGCCACAGGGAGCTCACCATTTATACTATTATTGTTCGTTTTATTTACGAATAATTCTTTGTCTTAAGGAAGCCTAAAGCAGCAGGCACCACAATATCAGTAAAAAATAGCAACACTAAAAGTACAGAGTTTTAGCTCGGTGAGTTACGACAATGTTAACAAACACTCTCCAGCAACCCAGACATTTTTTTTAACCTTTTGTTCCTGGGCCCACGCTGTTGAACCTTTAAAGCGCGATCTAAAGTAGACAAAGGGGTGGCCAAGCCATGCCTCCCCCAGGGAGACCGTTCTGGAATCAGGAAGTGACCTGTGGGGGACAACCTTGTGGCATCTTGGTCTTCATACCTCAGCCCCTTCTCCCAGGCCTACCTCTCACCGCCGTCTCCGTGCAGCCCTTGGGGATGTCAGTTGCCAGAGCGAGTTCCACCAGGTTGACTTCACGATCTTCTTGGAAGTATAGCTCTCCTTCCTTAATGGCCCGGAAGGGGAGAGCGTCCGGAGAGCCATGGCCACACACCACCTGCAACCATAACACACTCAGCTTTGCTCCAAGCGGCTGCTCGTTGGCCTGATGTCGATGGAAGCTTCCTGCCTGTATACAGTATGTTTCTCTGGGTTTCTAAATGATCAACTAACAGTTTAATGCAGCGTTTCTCAACTTGGCAACTTTAAGACGTGTGGACTTCAACTCCCAGAAGTC